TACTTAAGTTGTTACTTTTTGCAGTACATACGTTTTGTTAGTGGTCAGAATCAAGCTTGTTAAAAATCACGCATCCCAACATGACCGAAATAACTTCAGAATCGAGTACACGATAATCATTATCACAAACTGAGTCAATGCTGATTAGCGAAAGAGTTTTAATTATTCGCATATTTCGGCATGTTGCACGAATTCTGGCGCATACTGTATGCTCTTATGTCTTTATTATGGGCGTGGTAAAACAAACTAAAGCCGCACAAGTTCGCGCAAGTATGTCTTACTCTGATCAGCAAATTTCCTTAAGTCTCTCTATGTCGGCTTCCTATCGGTGCAGAGAGAGAATAATTTGTAATAAACGCTGCGCAGTTTAACGTTATTCAAACAATTGGCCTTAAGATCGAGGTGGGGCAGCTCGGAAAACAAAATCCAATTAACTAAAAAGAACACAAGTTAGAGACACCACCGCCCAAACGAGTGTGTTAATTAAAACAAATCAGGGATTTTCGCAAAAAGCCGACGTGCTTTTAGTTGTCTGGTCAAATTGAACCCTCCTTCATCTTTTGTAGGCCGCATTGAAGTTGCGGAACCCCAGACCGTGCTTCAAATGAGAGAGGATTCGTCTAGCTGTCTGCAGACTGACAGAGTATGCACTACCTAACCGTCGTTTCACGAAATAAGATGATAATAGTGAGGATGATGATGATGATGATGGTGATGGGGAGAAGGAGGAGGGGGACGAGAAGAAGAGGTTTATCAGTTAAGTTTATGTGTAGTTCAGTTTTTGGTTTACTCAGTTTAAAGTAATTGTTTTAGTATGTTAATCTAACGTTGGTGGTATCTAACTGAACTAAAACCCTAACATACACTAAAAATAATATAAAAAAACTAAAACTAAGCTAAACTAAAAATAATAGAATTCAAAGTAACCACAGGAGGAGGGGGTAGGGGTATCTAAGGTGGGCCAAGGACTTTTTCCACTTAACTTCGGTAGAAATTTAGGTGAATATTTAACCGAGCTGACTGCCAGTTACTTTTGCGTTTACCCTATATACTTGCATGCAGTGATGCATGTCGACTGATAAACATCATTTGCGCTGGAACGCTGTTGCGAATCGCCGTGGGTGGCCTTTATTTAAAAAAAAGTTATCGTGGGAGCTGTGGTGGATGTTGCGTGTTCTTGCAATGGAGCATCGTAATCGCCGTTTGATCGGGTTTTCAAAAGGGAGCCGCCATTGTTTTTATGTATCTGATTCACACAGAATTGTACATCACTTAACCTATTTTACGCATTATGCACTGACTTTATTTCCTATTTCTTTAAACCACAGTTATTAGCTCATCTGTACATAAAAGTATCACCGTTTAGAAGCCAATGAAACCTGCTGTAAATTTTACACTGAATTCATCGATAGTTGCAGTTTGTTAGGAGTATGTCCCCTATCTATGACCAGTCTACGCCAGCTTCTTCCAGTAATACATCAGCGATTGCCTATGCAGGGAACAATCACCTCTACGATTCACAAATGGCACTTAAATGTCAGTCGCAGAAAACATGCTGGCAATTACATGTTTAGGCAGATAGTATAGCCGGTAGGGATAAGCGAGACTGGAATGGCCATTTCTGGCTTATTAGCCATCGTCAGCCAGTCATACGCAGACCCAAGTGGTGTCCCATTCGAGCCTCGAGCGCGCAACCTTTTGAACCAGAGTTAAACTTCCTAACCATTGAGCCATGAGCTCGTTGTGTAGCCGGTTTAGGTCAGGGGATATTGACACTTGCTAAAGAACGAGACCCAAGGCAGATGAGTCCCGTTAGCGGTCAGGTGAACGTTCATCAACGAGTGTCAACGAATTACGGCTTTCCTTTCGACAAACGGTATTTCAAACTTAAACTAAGCTCGCGATATGGACCTGCTTATGGCAAAAAAGAGAGCACCGTAAAAGTGTTGTAGGCTGTCTTCAGGAAGTCTGCTTAATCGATTTTATCGATTCGCAACTATCTACTTCTGCAACCCTCCTGCTGCCTCCGACGTGACATAAAATACTCGTTATGTAGCAGATGTGAAAACGTGCTTATTTGTTTAAACTAGAACTGGTGCGGCAAATTCGAAAAAATAGTACGACATTTCGCATCGGTCATGCTGATCGTTACTAGGATTGCGGATGATGTTATCACCCGTTTCTACCCTTATTTACTTGATGTTAACTCAGTCCTCCCGCGTGAAGTAGATGCAGGCGTATCTCTCGCCGTAAGTTGGCTTACAACCTTTCGGCAGTGCCATTTCTGGCAGCGTATCGTACGTGTAAAGCCACTGAAATTCGATAACCGAAACTTCAAATGTCCGCCAATATAGTTACACAATTATCCTCTGAATCCATTTATTTACTTGTTATTTTTAATTTATATACTAACCATGGTAAATGCTAACATTTTTAAAATTAAACTTTCATTTTCTCACACCTTAGGGCCTTTCTAGAAATATGGATGCTAACCTACAGCTCATTAAATATTAACTAAAATTCGTAAAGGTTATATCGGCTAGAAAGGACTACTTAAGTGGTCTTGTAATGCCAGTCACGCCAGGATGCCGCATTTTTTGAATGCATCTCTTTCGGGTCTGCTCTACAAATGATGTTGCTTAAACTGACTATTTAAATATTATCACGTTTTTCTTCTGATTCTTCACACCTTTATAAATCCATATATAATTTAGAGAGAGCATATAAACGGATCCATTTTTAGTAGAAGGCTTTGGCAGATTTGAATAATTCATTTGACCTAATTCTGAAGGACTCGCACCCTCAGTGGGAGTCGAACCCCCACAGCAAGGAAGGCTTTTGCTCAGCCAACCCTCTACCGCTGAGCTACGAGGCTCACCATGAGCCGTGAATTTCATCACACTTGGATCGATTTTACCCGCCCAACCTACTGCTCGTTTGGAACCCACAATTACGGATACCGTAATCTGACTGCCCAGGCGCGATTTCCCAAGCAATCATCTAGAATGTACCAGAACGAATAATTCAGTTGACTCAGTTGCAAAATTTTTTGTATTTTTTTGTCTTGCCTTTTTTTAACGTTTCATCCACTGTGACAGTATCTTCAAATTTAAAAAAACGTGCTTTTTGATTCCCGCGTACTTTAAAACGTATCTTGTCGATGTCAAGCTGCACATTTTCTTCATAAGCTAAATCACACGTTCGTCTGTGCTGTTAAAAGTACATTCTATGGGACTTCAACTTCCTTTCATTGATTTGGACAATGTGTATCGTCCTTAACAACAATATAGACGGATAGATAAAATGTCATTTGTACATGGATATAATTAATCCCCTATTACAGACGACCCTCACTTAAATAACAGAAGGTTCGGTAGCTTACCTGACTCATGAAATATTAAGATCGACATTTATTTTAGCAGGAAACCTTTCAACTAAATCCGTTCGGGGCACTGTGAATTCTCCTTTGCTTTCATGAGAATCACATAAATGTAAATATGAGAAAATCCATTGCTTTTCAGGGACTCAAGGGCGCTTTCAGTTCCGTTTGTGAATTGGCGACCTTCTATGCCATAAAACTCAGTAATTGAGACCACTGAAACCCAAAATGTAGACCTTAAACAAACCTGTGTGTATACATGGAGTTCGGTTTCTAACCAAATTGTTGCGAGTTCTAGCCTCGAGCGGTGCATCAATTGGGGGTTTGTACGGCTGGCTGAGGACAGCTAATCAACCAGAAACGGCCATCCCAGTCTCCCCTGTCTTCGTCGGTCATTAATTCTGCATATCTATATAAATTACGGCCCGAAATTCATACTGTCGACATTTGCGAAAGGTTGATACTCTCTCGCTAATCGGCATTGACTAAGGTTGTAATACTGAGTAACATGTAGTCTCTAAACTTTAAAGAGAACGTTATTTCCTACCAAACTTGTGCAAGAAATAATTTTTTTCCATTTTTTTCCATAAAATATATCTGAATTTATAGAGGCAGTCAAACTCCACGACAACAATGAATACTATTGAAGTGGCCATACATTACAGTAAATACGTTTTGCTAGCTGTCAGAAAGAAGCTCGCTTAAAAGCCGGCACCCTATCGTGATTGAAATGACTTCAGAATAGACTACATTATAATCAATATTACAATCTTACTCAGTGCCGATTAATGAGAGTATCAATATTTCGCATATGTCGGCTTTTTACACAAATTTTGGGCCGCACCGTAAATGGTAATGATGTTGTACCATCATTAGCTAAAAGCCCAGACACGCGTTTCGCCAATGTCTTTATAATGCCTTTATCTTAAACAATTCTCCTGGAATTTCGTGTACAGACACCTACACTATGGCAGCTCATCTGTGCATGTTCTGTCGAGTGACGGGAGTAATTGAGAACGCGTATAAGCAACCTTTTCCGCCAATAGACTTAAAACTGTCCTTTTCCTTATCTCCGACTCGCGGAAACGTCCTAATATCTAGTCTGAGTGACTCCGCTTTCAGGTAGAATGGCAATCCTGCTGTGATAAGAAGATGAGAAACCGAATTTTATAGTATCTTAGATGGTCAAAATTGTTCGGCGGTCTCCGGTACTTAAGAAGTATGACTTCGCATTTAATAGTACTTGTTCAAATTTACCAATCTCTTAGTGAAGCCGAATGCACAGGAGCCCTCGACAACAAACCGAACGCCACGATACCCTCAAGCGTTTAAAATGTTCGTTCGATTAAAAAGAATCCTTTCTTTCTTCTATCAAGTAGAAGCTCAAACTCGCTTTAAAATTGCAGCGTTATGTAATGCAGGTTATATATATATACACACAGATGGAGATTACATTTTGGCAAGTGACGTGTGTTTTCTTGTTTGGATAGTCTTTACAGGGAAAACACTCCCTTGCCTGCCGGCCCGGTCTGAGTATTATTCATCTAATTTGACGCAGCCATGACAAAAGCCTTCAGGGAGTTCTGACGAATTCTGCCGCACACCCCTTCAATCCGCGTTGTTACACTTCAGTGGAACCAATCACATACATTGGAAGCGCGGGCGCATATTTTCCCTCCATGGTCATGGCTCCATGCATCTTGATGCCCAGACGATGGTCCACCTCAGACCTCCCACCATTCTCTCGAGGTTCGGACTTCCTTGACCCCGTTGGGCTGGATTCACCTTCGCCGCCGTCCTTGGCTGCTGATGCCGCATCCTCCTTCATACTGTTCTGACTGGTGGTGAATTGGAGATACTGTTTTTTAACAATCTTCTTCTGCTGCGCTACCAAATCCACCTTGGCGTCTCGATAGAGGTTCCGTTTGCGGGTAACGTTGAGCACAATCATATCACAGAGGACTGTGGCAATGCCCAGCAGGGCAAGACCGGAGCCTAGATTCATGGAAAATGTCAACATGTTGAATTTGCCGCCCTTCCCGTAGACTGTTATGAAAAACTGAATCCCATAGGCTTTGATGAGGTTGCGCTTTCGCGTGCCGTTCTCCATGTAATGGTAACTGTATCGAAAGTTCCAGCCCTTGCCCACGATGCTATCAAAGTCATCCAGCCTGCGAAACACATACTTGGGCAGACACTGCTCCTCATCGTAGTCCAGATTACAGTTCCATTCAATGTGGATCGACACCATACCACCCTGACGCCAAATCTGCTTATTCTCCGCGTCCGTATAATTCATAATGTCCCCCAGAGTGAATATCGGACAGTACTTCATCTTCTCATCATAGGGGTTATAGCGGCAGGTGAAGAGGAAGCGTTTGTCCATCCAGCTCAGGATGTTTCGCCTCTTCACTTGGTAGCGCGGAAACTCTATGCTGTTCTTCAGCATGACGGTGAAGTTGGGCGCGTTGGCCAGGACAAAGTCTGTCGGCGTGATGTCGTGCTCGGTGGGACACCACCCGTAGATCTCGCACACCTTTAGTCCCACCTTTCGGGTTGAGGGCACACAGTTGCCGGTCTGAACCCCACTGCCCAGCATCACAATATGTCCCGCGTGGCAGTCATCCTCCGATTGGCAGTCATTTCCGTAAACATCGTGGGCCTCCTCACAGGCGCCCAGCGTCTGTCCCGGGGTAATCACCAGATTTGTCATGACAAAGAAGGCGGAACGCTGTTGTGGCGGAATGACGTAGTCCGCAGCGTCCCAGACCATGGCACCGATGTTGGAGTTGTTGGTGAGGTTGGCAAAGGCGACACCCTTGAGTTTGGCGGTCACCCCGCTGACGGCCTCGTCA